CTTTACAAGATGAAGATGATTGCTTGAGAAAGGATCTATTTCCAAGTAACAAAGTGTATCTTTTGGGCAGTAGGCTGGCTAAACTGCGGCAAGGACTTCCGGTTGAGAAATTTAGGGTGGCTCAGATGGTTGGGCGTCTGCCTTCGGCTCGGGTCATGGTCTCGGGGTCCTGGGATTGAGTCCCACATCGGGCTCCTTCCTTAGTGGGGAGCCTGCTTCTCCCTCTGCCTGCCACTTCCCCTGCTTGTACTCTCCCTCTCTGTCTGGCAGATAAATAAAATCCTTAAAAAAAAAAAAGGAATGGATAAATATATTCCAAGAATGAAGTACACTCCCCTCAGCTAAAAAAAGACACTGGAAAATTCAGTTCTGAGTCTTGTTTGGTGATCGTAATAGCCTGTTCCCCACACTCAGCCTCGGAAACTGCAAGAACCAGGGGGCAAAAAGGATCGCTGCACCCCTTCAGAGATGGTGGACCTCCCTCCACACTCTACCACGTACCACGTACCTCCACCTTAAACCATCCCCTCTGTCCCGGAGCCCCCAGTTACTACTCACTGTGGATCCTACTTCTCTGAACAGCACCTTCAGACTGACACCTTCATTTGGTGTCTGCTTAGCTTTTTTCTTTTTCTTTTTCATTTTTTAAACACACTTAATTTTTAAAAATTTTTATTGTTATGTTAATCACCATACATTACATCATTAGCTTTGGATGTAGTGTTCCATGATTCATTGTTTGTGCATAACACCCAGTGCTCCACGCAGAACGTGCCCTCTTTAATACCCATCACCAGGCTAACCCATCCCCCCACCCCCCCTCCCCTCTAGAACCCTCAGTGTGTTTTTCAGAGTCCATTGTCTTTCATGGTTCGTCTCCCCGTCTGACTTACTCCCCTTCGTTCTTCACCTCCTGCTATCTTCATCTTCTTTTTTTTTCTTAACAAATATATTGCATTATTTGTTTCAGAAGTACAGATCTGTGATTCAACAGTCTTGTACAATTCACAGTGCTCACCATAGCACATACCCTCCCCAGTGTCTATCACCCAGCCACCCCCTCCCTCCCACCCCCCGCCACTCCAGGAACCCTCAGTTTGTTTCCTGAGATTAAGAATTCCTCATATCAGTGAGGTCATATGATACATGTCTTTCTCTGATTGACTTATTTCACTCAGCGTAACACCCTCCAGTTCCATCCACGTCATTGAAAATGGTAAGATCTTATTCCTTTTGATGGCTGCATAATATTCCATTGTGTATATATACCACACCTTCTTTATCCATTCATCTGTCGATGGACATCTTGGCTCTTTCCACAGTTTGGCTATTAACACACTTGATTTTTTAGAGCAGTTTTAGATTCACAGCAAATGGAGAACAAGGTACAGAGATTTCCCATATACTTCCTGCCCCCCCACATGGATGGCTTCCCTGACTGTTAACAACCAACAGAGTGGTACATTAGTTACAATCAATGAATCTACACTGACACATCGTATGGCTCAAAATCCATAGTTGACATTAGGGTTTGGTCTTGGTGTCATACATTTTATGGGTTTTAACAAATGTGTAATGGCATGTACTTACTTTGTAGTATCATGCAGAGCAGTGTCACTGCCCTCAAAATCCTCTGTGCTCCACCGACTCATCTCTCCCTACCCTCGAGCCCCTGGCAACCGATTCTTTCGCTGTCTCCATAGTTTTACCTTTTCCAGCATGTCATATAGGATTATGGCCTTTTCAGACTGGCTTCTTTTACCTCGTAATATACGTTTAAGCTTCCTCTATGTCTTGTCACGGCCTGATCGCTCATTTCTTTTTAGGTCTGGACATAGCACAATGTACCCATTCGCCTCCTAAAAGACCTCTTGGTTGCTTCCGATTTTGGGTGGTTATAAATAAAGCTACCATCAACAGCCATGTCTGCTTTTGATTCCAATTCCCCTCACTTCTCACCCTGGGAAACTGCATCTTGGATCACCATCAGCTGAACACTCTGAACTTCATGAGCCAACCCCACACCATCCCCTCACCTGCCCAGGGCCTAGCTTTTGAGACTACAGACAGCTGAATTTAGAGGAAGGCACAATACTCAGAATAACCACCGAGTGCCCAAGACTCCAGATTTATTCTGATTTGGCTTTGGCATTTCTGTGAATCTTGAATTTCATAGACAATGAACGTGTTGTGGGTATACTCAGGTAGCAATGAGCGACAAGTTACCAAGGGCCGAATCGTCCTTTCCCCCCACACTACACCCTGACAAGGGCTGAGAACAAAGATACAAGAATCTAAACCTGTCAGGGGTGAAACTAACGGGACCGGGAGGTCAGGTGTACCGGGAAAGGTCCTAGGACTCCTGTGACAGGAGACGCAAGCCAGAAGCCTGAGAAGGGAGGGAAGTGGGGAGAGAAGAGGAAAGAAGGGCAGCGTAGGGTTTCTGTTTCCCTAACTTTCCCTGTTCCCCAAGTCCAAGAACGAGGGGGGTTAGAACAGTGAGAGGAGGAGGGAGGAGATTGAGAGCACAGTGCGCCTGCGCGGGCACGTCGCGGCTCCGGCTCTGCCGGTTAGCAAGCTCCCTGGGAGGGACTGCGCATGCGGGGAGAGGAGGTGGGAGGGAAAGGGTGCGGACGCACACCCCTTAGTTTGCGCGCACTCCACTGCCGTGTGGGAACGGCGTGCGTGTAGCGTCTCTGCGCCCTGGCCGGCGTGATGTGCAGCAGTGGGTCCGACCCGCCCCAGGAGCTCAGCAGGCAGGACTGGGGGATGGCTCTGATGGGTGTCGGGTTGAGGCGGGACACTCAGGGCGGCATCACTGCGGCACCGGGTGGGTGGGGATCTAGTCCTGCCCCCGTGTGCCACACCTGCACACCGTTTGGGCCGAGAGACGCGACCATGGCGGCATCGTGCCACACTAAGAGGAAAGACTAGCTCCTGCCCTGGTTGGCCCCGCTTAAGTTCCATCTTCCCGGAAATAGAGCCAACTCAGCAGAGACAGAAAAGGAGCTTGGGAGGTGGAAGCCCTGAATTGGACTGGGGCTGAATATAAATCATGAATTGTCTGAGAAATTGTTGGATTCGACTGTTACGTTGCCTGGCCAAGGTGAAGTTTTTCCTCTACAAAACAAAATGATGGCGCCTGATCTAAGATCTGTTACAATGAAATGAAATGACCATTTTAGCCATACAGATCTGCGACTGTACTGTCAATTTCCATCCCCACCATGATGCAGTACCCTGGATATACGCACTCTCTCTGTTATATATTACCTTGAATGAACACTTGGTGATGCAACCACATGAGAAAGACAATGCGTTATGTCCCAACATTATGTCCCAGTTAGTTGATTGAGAAAATATATAGAAAATATGTAATCATACTTGTTGGTATTCCAAATGTTTAGATAGCAACATAAAGTCTGCATAGACCAAAATGATGAAATGAACATAGACCATCTTGATTAACAGCAAATCAACTTGAAGTAACACTGAGACATTCTTGTAAATGGTCATTGAAATATGGGATGAATCCCATTGGGACAGACACAGCATAAATATTAAGGATCAAAGTGAAGCCCACAGGCGTGCCTGGGTGGCTCAGTCGGTGGCTCAGTCGGTTAAGTGGCTCAGGTTGTGATCTCTGGGTCCTCGGATCAAGCCCCACACGGAATCCCAATCCCGGCTTCATGGTGGGAGGTCTGCTTGTCCCTATCTCTCTGTGCACCCCCCACTCGTTCTCCCTCTCTCTCTCAAATAAATAAAATCTTAAAAAAAAAAAAAAAAACAAAGTGAACTCCACAGAAATAAGTAAGGGAAAGAGAGTCTACTCAGTTTCAGAGATAGTCCAAAATCCATGTTTGGGGAAATGAAGTGCATATTTAAGCCAGTCTCAGTTTCTTGTTTCTCACCTGTATTTATATTCTATCCTTAGAATAACTGTATGAAGCAGTTAGGACAGGTATTAATATGCACATTTTTCAGAGCACAGAGCATTATCAGCACAGACGTGAAGCACAAGCAGGAGTGCATGTTACCACGAGATCTTTCTCTCACCACCTGGTGGTATTCCGGCTAGCTTGTGGATTCTCAGTGTACCACCTGGGACCATTTCAGGGTGATGTATGCAGCAACGTATAGGATTTCTTTTTCTCCCTCTTTCTCATACACTCACAATAATAGTGTAAGCTTATGAGGTGCTGGGCAAATGTAGGGCATTATCGTCCTACGAAGTCCTGTGTGAGTCTCACACTTGACTTCTGACATCAGACCAACACTGAATCCATCCTGTCTTGAATGCTCCTTGACTGTGAGAAAATCTTGCAAAGGAACTTCCAACATGTGATAAGAGAATCTGGGCGACATTATGGCCAGAAACAAGAGAATAGAATATAGTTGTTTTAAATTAACATGTTAGGACAAGGAAAAAAAAATAGGCATTTTCTCTACTTGGTGTTGCTTTTAGCCTTTCCAGAATTTTATAGTAGTCACTTACTCCAGTTTTAAAAAGACAAAGGTGACATAGGGAAGATAAATTAAAATGATTATGTGAGTGAAGAACAGATCTGAGAATTAAGGAATTGGTGCTGTTTTGTCTGTAAAAGGGTAGAGGATACAGTATATAAAACAATTTTATAAAGAAGATCTAGACCAGTTAAATATTCTCATGTGCAAATAAACAGGAAACTGTTTTAATAGCCCTATGAGGGAAGATGACTAGGTAGGTCTGATTAAACCAGATATCAAGAAGAGGCTGTCTATCCTGTTAATCCTTTAAAATTGAAATATGGAGATAGGGAATGTAATAGAATCGTGAATTATTTTTTCTTTGAAGTGACTTCGACAACTCTTCTATTTTAAGCCAATTATTTTGCATTTCTTGTTAAAGGTGTATGCTGGTATTTTATATTAATTAATATGCACAGAAAAATGCACATTAGTCACGTTTTAAAAGATTAGTCACATTTTTATAAATAGAATTTATATATATCACCACATACCTATTCCTGAGAATATAGAATTTCTTTTCCCAGTTTTTGTTTATCTGTTCTGATTCTTTCTTAAATCTGTAATAGATTTATAGATGGTTAAATGTTGTATTAGCTACAAATGAACAATTATGCTTCATTATTACCGGTACCTTTCTGTCTTCTTTTTCTCATTTTCTAAATTAGCCTTTAGTACTTGTATTTGCTCCTCCAAAATATGTCTGTCTTCAATCTTTCAATAGAAAATGCATCACAAAGTGAATTACATGAACAATATATTCTTTCTCCATAAATCTTAAAAGCTATTTCTATTAAATAGCATGCATATTCTACCTATCAAAAATAATTTGAGGGAATAGTGAGTTACATTTACTTGCAGGTCCCCATAAATTGCAAGAATTAAAGATCCCATCCGCCATGTCCTGTAAGTGATTCATTTAAAGGCAGCCAGTTCTAAGCAATATTACAAAGCAATCAAAACTTTTCTTCATCACCCCTCCCCCTACCAGGTATCCCTTTTTCTAAATCTTGTTTTCTCTCTCTTACTGTGACCTCTCCAGCTCATTATAGGCAGGAGCTGCTCCAGTTACTCTATTTTCTTTCTTTCTTTCTTTTTTTCTTACCAAAACTGTTCTCAGGAAAAGATCTGACCAAGTGAATCACATTAGAGCTTTATGTCACCCATTTCTCAGGATTGTTTATATTTTACAAGGGGACAAACTTTAGCAAAAGGAATGAATCTCTAACAGTGGAATTGTGGGCATATCACGAATGAGAGAGATTTCTCTGGATCCAGCCTGGACATACCCCAGAATCAGATTACAGTGTGAATGAGGTCTTTGTCTCTTCATAAGACCCACTCTCGGTGTAGCTTTCAAAGTCATTGCCACTTTTTAAGAATAGCCAGCATCAATATAAACAATAAGCATGTTAATAGTAATGGTCATATTAGTCATTATTATACCTTAGCCACTGACAATTTCACCTTTCCTTCGTGTACCTCAGCTGGTTTTGCGTGCCTCACCTGGCATGAAAATAAACCAACGTAAATATAACATTTCAAATCAGTGCATAAATATGTGGTTTTTCTGCAGCTTAGAGACAGGCAACTGAGCCTTAGAATATGCCAACCGTAGTCCCGCAGGGGTCTTCTCTGCCTTACCTAATGTATAAAGCCCAGGGCTTTTGTACATTGCCTTTGCAACTGGACAATCACAGCCCATTAAAACCAACTTTCCCACTACCATCTTTTTTTAAAATTTTTTTATTGTTATGTTAATCACCATACATTACATCATTAGTTTTTGATGTAGTGTTCCATGATTCATTGTTTGCGTATAACGCCCAGTGCTCCATGCAGAACGTGCCCTCCTTAATACCCATCACCAGGCTAACCCATCCTCCCACCCCCCTCCCCTCCAGAACCCTCAGTTTGTTTTTCAGAGTCCATCGTCTCTCGTGGTTCGTCTCCCCCTCCGAATTCCCCCCCTTCATTCTTCCCCTCCTGCTATCTTCTTTCTTTTTTCTTAACATATATTGCATTATTTGTTTCAGAAGTACAGATCTGTGATTCAACAGTCTTGCACAATTCACAGCGCTCACCATAGCACATACCCTCCCTGATGTCTATCACCCAGCCACCCCATCCCTCCCAGCCCCCCTACTCCAGCAACCCTCAGTTTGTTTCCTGAGATTAAGAATTCCCCACTACCATCTTTTTAAAGTGCATTTTTCTGCACTCCTATATTGGCCAAATTTTACTATTATACCTTTTTTTAATGAAGTGGGCAGTTATTACTCAGTGTAGTGATAACCTTTAAGGAAACTTTATTTTAAATGATGATTTACATGATTTAAATGATAATTATAATGAATTTTCACTAGTGTTATCTCTAGTGAGATGGCACTGAGAGCAGATGGCAGTGAGAAAACATACTGAATATAAAAATCTGCTTGTTTAGCTATCTCTGTGTTCCTACACAAAAGACAGAAAAAGGTGCTCCTTATTACTACTACTACCTCTCTGGTGGGTTCTGTGACCCAAAAGGCCCTGAATCTGTTGCCCGTCTTGGTGAAGTGGGCTCCACCCGGGAGAGTCTAGAGCCAGGTCTGGGGAAAAGAGCTAGAGAGTTCTGCAGAAGAGAGTAAAAGGAACTTAGAGCTAACTTCCCCTGAGTAATTAGAAGGACTGGGAAGAGAGAAGGAGAGAGCGAGCGCGCGTGAGAGAGAATGGCCAGGCAGGGCCACAAGGCTTGGTGGTGCTAGCGTCTGGTGACATTGTGGGTGACCAGTGTCCAGGGGTGATGGCCACTATTTAATTTGAAATGGCATCTTGGTGATGCCTGGTCCCTGTCGCTTACCTTCTTCAACCTCCTCAAATTTACATATACAAAGTGGTCCTGCGAGCAGGTTGTTTTAATAGACATCGCATAATTGGATAAAATTCAAGGTCTGATTAAACAAAATGGAAACTGGGATGGGAAGCAGAGCACAGTGAAACTCGGAAACTGACTTAGTTCAGTGGAAGAAGGAGCTAGACGCGGTGACAACCACCAGAAGATGCTGTGGGCATCTGCAGAAAACCCGGGACATGCTCTAGGCTGCCACAAAGCACAGAATGTGGGTTTGAGCCAGTTTTATTATATCTGAAGGAACAGAGAGAACCCAGCCAACATCAGCCGCCACAAATAAAAAATAACAAAATTTGTAGCAACAGCCCTAAAAGCTATAGTTTATTGAGTGCCTATTATGTGCCAGACAGTTAACATATATTACTGTTTATTTCTATATACTACCTATTGACTTCTTCATTCATATTACTTCAGCTTTTTTGTAAAGATTTTATTTATTTATTATTAGAGAAAGGCACAAATGCAAGCAGCGGAGGGCTGGGGGGAGGAAGAGGGAGAGAATTTCAAGCAGACTCCATGCTGAGCACGAGCCCCAGTAGGAGCTCAATCCTATGACCCTGAGATCAGAACCTGAGCTGAAATCAAGAGTAGGCGCTCATTCGACTGAGCCACCCAGGCGCCCCTCATATTACTTTAGATTTTTCATAATAGATAATACATGCATTTTTTAAATGAACTGCAAATAGCTTACACGAACCTGAGATTCTCACTTCCCAGAAGTTAAGGTTTTGTTTGCTCATTGTGTTTTGTTTTCATCTTTCTCATCATTATTATAAATAAATAACAGCTTTTATTGATTTGGGCTTCTCCACAAATAAAGATTCAGAATTTAAAGCATTCACATTATCTTCTGCCTTCTCTGTCTCTCTCCCTCACATGCCTGGGTTTTTTTTAATTTGCAAATGTTTAACTCACATCATAGTTGCCTTTATTATCATTTCAAAATGTGTAAACTTCTATATTTTGATTTGTTAATTCCCTGCTGTGAAAGATGGGAAATTTATTTAGTCTTTTTTTTCCCCTAATACTCTTCACTCTCTCCACCTCCCAGTTTTGGGAAGGAATGTTATTTTTACATTGTTAATGTCAATAGGATTGTTCTCACACTATAATTAAGTGCCCCATGCTTTATCTACAGCCTGAATCTAAAAAGTGAAATGTGTTTCTGCAAACATTATTTACTGCAAGACCAAGAAGTGTAATTGGCTCCACAGGGAAGACAAGGTAAACCTGTAACTAAGCTTTGCTACTAAAAGGAGATTCTTCCCAGTGCTGCTCTAAAGTTACAACTTTTTTTTTAAATAAAATAAATAAGATTTTATTTATTTATTTGACAGAGAAATTGAGAGAGAGAGCAGAGCGGCCCCAGGCAGAGAGAAAGGGACAAGCAGGCTCCCCACTGAGCAGGGAGCCCGATGTGGGGCTCGATCCCAGGACCCCCGGGATCATGACCTGAGCCGAAGGCAGACGCTTAACCAACTGATCCACCCACGTGCCCCTAATGTTACAACTTTTCATTTTCTAGCTCCCTTTACTTCTGAGTCACACTTCCTTTCTCCTTCTTGGGTCCTTATCATCCTGCATATTGGATTCTTTCTATATTTGGTTAGAGTGTTTCTTGAATAATTTCTTTAAACAGTTTCCACATATAACAAACTTTTTGAGTTTTCACACGTTCAAAAATATCTTTATTTCTCTTACACACTCCGTTGAGATTTTAGTTGGAGATAAGAACTAGGATTCAATTTTTTTTCCTTTTGAAAACTTTGCTTTATTTGCTTGTAGCAACCAGTGATGCTGATGAGAAAATTAGTTTCCTTGTTTTTGTTTCATTATAGATAAACTGTTTTTTTTCTTCTTCTTTATTCTTAGAGACCTAAAATTTCACCAGAATGTACCTGCTGTTTTCATCAATTCTAAGACATATTCTGTGTCCCACTCAGTGTTTTAACACCTTTGAAACTGAGATGCCTTATAACTGGTGTGCACATCATAATTTAATAGGCAGCAGTTTTGCCTTGCTCGTGTCTTAACCATTGGCATCTGAGATTTGATAAAAACAACAGACACTCTGCTTTTCATTTCAATCCTGTTTAGCACTTGATGGGCCTTTCCATCTGAATCTTAATGTTCCTTTGCTTTAGTTTATGGAAATTTTATCTTATTTCTTTTCTAATGCTGTCTTACATCCATTGTACCTGTCTGGCTTCCTGAAAACTCTATTAGAAAGGTATTAAACCTCTTGGATCCATCCTTCATATTTTAACTTTTCTCATAATTTCTGTCTGCCATTTTACACCATGTTCTAAGAGACTCTGTTGTTCCCTTAATCTTCCAGATTATTTTTTAAAGATTTACTTATTTGTTTATTTGAGAGAGAGAGAGAGAGAGCGTGAGGCGGGAAGGGCAGAGGGAGAGAGAGAATCTTAAGCAGACTCAGGGCTAAGCATGCAGCCCAACGTGGGGCTTGATCTCACAACCCTGAGATCATGACCTGAACCGAAATCAAGAGTCAGACACTTAACCAACTGAGCCACCCAGGTGCCCAAATCTTCCAGATTATTAATTGGGTCTTCAACTGTGTCAGTTTTATTATTCAGCCTGCCCATTGGTGCCTTTTTGTTGTTGTTGTTGTTGTTACTTCCAAGAAATTGTTCTTTCCCTTAGGCTGTTCCTTTCCCATAGCTGCCTGTCCTTCCTTAATGGAGAAGTTTCTCAGGAATGTTTCCCCAAATATACTTATTTTAAAAATGTCTTTTAAGTTCTTTTCCATTCCCTGAATTAACCATCTTTCTTATGGAGCCAATGGCTGTTTGTTGTCTTTGTTTTTTCACTCACTAAATATTTGCTGAATTCTTACTATGTGACAGAAAACATTCTAGGAACTAAAGATACAACAGAAAACAGAACAGGGCTGAAAGAGGTAGAACTTAGGGCACTCTTTGAGTGAAAAGGGAACTGCCTAGAATTTCTTATTTGGGCAACTAGATGGACAATGGTACCATTCACCAAGACAAAAAAAAAGAATAATTGGAGTAGCGACAATTTTGTATGCTAGTATTCTTTTCTTATTTAATGAAAAAAAATTTGGTAAGTTCAGATTCAGATACTTAGAGAAATCTAGGGCACAATCAAATGAGGACATGTAATAGGCAACTGGGACAAGGGCCTGGAATTTGGGAGTGGGGTTGATCCTAAAGATAGAATTTGGAGTCACCAATATTTTAGTTGAAGCTGAAGACTTAGATAAGGCCATTCATGAAATTTACAGAAAGAGAAAAGCAGAAGATCAGGGATGAAACCCTGTGTCCAGGTGTGGCCGACCTGTAGCTCTGATTTATCTTTGGCTGATAGGGAACTCCCAAACCTGGAACCCTAACCCACTGCTCTTACCTTGGTTCTCAAAACTCTAACTCCCACTCCATGAATCCTCACAGTCCTGGAGAGCCCTTTGGGGCCTTAGAACTACCCAAATAAATGTTCCTTTAGTTGTTGACGCACTATCTCAAACTCCCTAGAAGAAACCACCAACTACTATTACCAACACTGTGACTCGGTCTTCCCATGGCCCATGTGACAGAAAGCTAGACAAAACGAAGTCTAAGGTATAATA